TGCCAAGTTGTCTTTTATCATGTCTGTATATTAAGTGTTATGTATGTTCATATGAACAAGAAATAATTATCTGCCAGCAGATTATGAGCACTTCTGAGTTCCATCATGTACTCAATCTTAATTACAAATGTCATCAGAAAAGGACAAGAAAGTGACCACTTGCTTCCGGGTCTTGTCTCTTCAGCAGTAAGCATGTGATGCATTCAAGATTCAACGAATTCATGAAAACCAAGTGTGTTCCTCCCTGCACGGTAGGTGCTGCTCAAGATGAATTATATTTTGTTGATACACAATAGGTGTGTTGTTTCACGTCTAGTCAGTGGAGGTAATTGTTTAATTTGCAATTCTGAAACTTTCTGTAGTATTCAGAAAGAAAATCCGTATCATTTTCTAAGGTCACAACCAATTGAACGTCATTTTGAAAAACTACACTGGATGTTCTGACATAAATACATAGTATATTGCTCTACTTGCAATATTCTTGATTACCTGCTCATGGAAGTTTATTAATTGAAGCGCACATTGTCTAATATGTCTGTGGTGCCTCCGTTTAGCCATTTAACTAATTTAAAACCTGCATAGTTAATGCCAACGCCTTTTTTATTTTGGAACTGTGTATGGCTATGTGATCTCATGAGGGCTATTGCTTTCCAATTAAAATGATACTTTATGTAACCTCATGAGGGCTAGCTATTGCTATTACTAACTGCACTAGTCAACTAGGATATCCACGCTTCCATCTTAATTCTTCTGTTCTTGAACTAGCTAGACCCGTAAGGAGGAGGATGTGAAGTTGACACACACCACTACTGGAATTTTCCTCTTTGCCGAGTGTTAGGCTCTTTGCCAAGTGCACTATATCAGACACTCGACAATACTATCTTTGCCGAGTACTTAACTCGGCAAAAACGTGAAACTCGGCAAACAAGCACTTTGCCAAGTGTTGGGGACAAAACGCTCGGTAAAATAACAAAACTGGCAAACAAGGCTTTGCCAGTGCTACACTCGGAAGGGGGTCTTTACCGAGTGTCACACTCGGCAAAAGGGGGTGTTCACTAAACTGCATGATTTTGACTGTAGAGGTTGCATACGACCTTGGATGAAGATGGTCCAAAAATCAAAGTTGTTCATTTTGATGAGACGGACAGTTTCTATGTTGAAAACCTTTTCATTTTAGGCCATATTAGTTGCACTTTTTGGCATGCCAAATATTAATATAGTCTCAAATGACCAAGATGATGGCCATATTCATTGCATAGTTTATTATGATGTTCCCAGATCAAACACATAGGTGCATCTCGACATTACCAACAATGTTGCCAAATAGAGTTTCCTACTTTTTGTACAAAAAAATCATTTTTCATTTTCCAAGTGTAAAAAATGGGTGTTTTTTTGAAGCAAGTACAAAAATCAGGGTGCAAAATGGCACCACTCCAATTATCACACTAAGTAGACCATATTTTATGCACAATTCCCAAGTTTCATGGATTTTCTAGTTTTCTAGCTACTTTCACACATTTAATTGGCTTTATGCTAATTTCTCGAAAGTAATTATAAATTTGAACTGGAAGTGTGTGATAGCTCAGTCATCAAAATTAACAAAAAAATGTTTTTAGGTACACAAGTAGTCATTATATGGGAGAACCACTTAGATTTTTTAGAAATTCAACCCCTTGTGATGAATAGCCATGTCGACCATTTTGACCCCGTATTAAAAATGAAAGAAAAAGAATACAAGTTCAAAAAATGCAATCGTTTCGCATGAAGTTCTATTATGTGTACTAGTTTTGCAAGGAAAAATACCAAACTTTCAATATAACAAATTTGAAAAAAATCATTCACAAAACGGGCTATCGTGTATGAACATTAATGACTTTCAAGTCAAAGGACCAAGGTAATGGTCATACTCATTGCATAATTTATTACAATATTCCCAAATTAGCCACATAGGCGCATACTGACATTACAAACAATGTTGCCAAATAGAGTTTCCTTTTTTTTACAAAAAAAAAAATCAGTTTTCATTTTCTAAGTGTTAAAAATGGATTATTTTTTTGCGAAGCAAGTAAAAAAACTAGGATGCAAAATGGCACCACTCCAATTATCACCATAAGTAAACCATATTTTATGCACAATTCCTATGTTTCATGGATTTTCTATATTTCTAGCTACTTTCGCACATTTAAATGACTTTATGTCAATTCCCGGAAGTGATTCAAATTTGAATTGCAAGTGTGTGATAACACTGTCATAAAAATTAGGAAACAAAACTTTTATGCACATATATAGTCATTATATGGGAGAACCACTTAGAGTTTTGAGAGATTCAACTCCTTGTGATGAATCGCCATGCCGTTCATTTTGACCCCATTTTGATAAAAAAAATAAAGAAAATGAATACATGTTCAAAAAATGCAATGGTTTCGCGTGGAGTCCTTTTATGTGTACTATTTACGAGGAAAAATACCAAAGTTTTCATATGATAATTTGCAAAAATTCCTTCACAAAATATGCTATCGCCTATGAACATTCATGGATTTCAAGTCAAATGACCAATTTATGCCCATATTCATTGCATGGTTTAATATGATGTGCCCAAACTTGGATCATGGATGCATCTTGTCATTACAAACAATGCTGCCAAATAGAGTTTCCAACATTTTTTTGTAAAAATAAGTCATTTTCCATTTTCTAAGTGTAAAAAAGAGTATTTTTATGAAGCAAGCACAAAAAACAGGTTGTAAAGACACTCCAATTTTCACAAAAATACACCATATTTGGTGGCCAATTCTCAAGTTCTATGAATTTTCTAAATTTCTTGCTATTTCCACACATTTAAATAACTTCTGATTTCCCAAAAGTATTTCAAATTTGAAATGCAAGTCTGCAATTACTATGTCCAAATATTTTTAGATACACTAGTAGTCACTATATGGAAGAACCGCTGGACGTTTTTCATATTTTCTTGTCTGTTCACAATATTTATATTCATTGTTTTGTGTTTACCGAGTGTTACCCTCGTTAAAAGTCATGTTTTTTCTGATTGGTTGAGAGAAAGCACACTCTCAAGTCACTGTTCAAGATATCTTTTGATATCCCGATAAATCGGCCGATTTATCGCTTACTGGTGTCTGGCTGATAAGATAAATCGGCCGATAAATCAGCCGATATGGCGATAAATCGGCCGATATGCTGATAAAATGGCTGATTTACCCCTTATCTTGAGTCGACCGATAAGTTCCCAATAAGCGATATCCCCAACATTTGCTCTTGATCAATCTGAGAATAACATACGGAATGATGACGTGGCATCATGGCAGCCGCACATCTCTTACTCTCTCTTCTATCTCTCTCCCACTCTCTTCTAAATCACGAGCGTGTGTCTCATTTCCTCATCTCTCTCCTTGTCTTCTCTCACGGCCACCACCGGCGGGCAGTGGCCGACCACCAGCACTGCCGCAACATCGCGAGCGTGCCATGAGAACAAGGCCGATAGACATTCGTCTCCTCCGGCCGCTGACCTCGCCCTTCCGATGACGTGCCAGATCGGCCGGTACGTCGAGGTTGTGCGGACGACCGACCGGACTCCCAACTGCACGCGCTTGGCTCCACCGTCTTTGCTCCTCCTCCTGACCTAGCTGTTGCTCCTCTTCCGCAGGTCCGTCTCTTCATCAATCACACGAGCAGAAGCTAGTATGCTGGTGTGCTGACTAGCTAGTATGTTGGTGTGCTAACTAGTACTCCGATGTTGTGGCAAGCCGGTGCAATAGTAGCTCAGGAGGACGGCGAGGATCAATAGCAGCAACAGCGCACACGACAAGCAGCAACGGGAACACGATGGCAAGCAGCAGTAGCGGTCGGCGCCTACATTTGACCACCAATGGATATAGGACGGGGTCAAGCGGCGCTATTTTTTTTCTATTTACTCCCTTTACCGAGCGGTACTCTAGCTAAACTACCTTGCCACGTAGCTACAACACCATTTGCCTTGTCTTGTCTGATCGCTTTTTTTTGCCGTGTGACCGTATTTGAAACTCGGTAAAGACTTTGTCGAGTGTTCAACAAATGGATCTTGGCAAATTTCTGTTTGACGAAAAGGGGTACGCTGAGTGTCCTTTGCCGAGTACGACACTTGGCAAAGCCTTTGCCCAGTGTGTGTGGCACCCACACTCTCAGGTTTTATGGTTTCTACCATAGGTTGCTTATTTTGCATTCTATGAAGAACAAATGTGGTATAGAATAAGAGCATGAAAAGGGCAAAACAAAGTAATGCGCAAAGAATACCCCCCGCCCTCCCCAGACAGACACAAACACCCTGCTGCCAGCAACTCCTTTGCCGTACCTAGCAAAAGAATTGTTGGATTGATGTAGCGATTTTTTGCAACCACTCAAAGGACATGAAAATAAGGAAAAAAACTGGAAACTTATTTAAAATTAACTAGCTAGTGGGTGTATGTGAAGTTCAAGAAAAAGCTCGACTTTTTCTCGACAAGTTAATGTGCAAAGAATTAGTAAATGTATTTGCCAAAAAGAAAGCGAACTGAATTAACGATAAAACCGGTTTAGGTTCTCACTATAGACAATGGTAGTAGTTGGAACCATATACAAACCTATAAAAAATAAGATCTCAAATCTCCAACCATTAAAGAGTTATATATTAGTCCTTTCTTCTGTTCAACCCAAATTTTACAATAACACTATTATACTTAAATCTTGATTATTGCAATACATAATTAATTAATTAATGCACCGGCTTGCGGTTGTAACTAGGCAAGATGAACCTATGAACTTGCAAGCATGGCAATCAGATCGACATCCACACAATACCAGTATGAACACTGTCTAGATAAAACTTTATTTGTATTTTATTTCATAATTTAAACTAGTTTGTGCGGGTCACACATGACATTGTGTGACACTTTATTTGTCACCGCTACATCGACATATCCATCGACTAAGCAACGGCGATCCTACTATATATTACTAGAGATATTTTGTTATCAGTAGGCACCAACTTGGGTGCCAACGCCGAATGGCACACTAGTGGTGGTGCCGTACACCGGCACATTGGTACTGCACATCGTTGGCAGGGTATGGAATGCAATGGAAGTCATCACCTCAAGTTGAGCTATTTGGTGTGGCTGCAATAAGGTACCCTGTGGTACCTGTTGTTGTTGAGGCCATTGACCGAGTTGTTGTTGTTGTGGTTGTTGGAAAGAACACTGTCCGAGTTGCTTCTGTTGTTGTTGGGGTTGGGAGACACCTTGGACCGACTGTTGGGGTTGTTGCTGCTAAGGTTGGTTGAAACCCTGACCAGGTTGTTGTTCTTGTAGGACGATCGAGTAGATGATGGCACGGATTGCATCATAGCGTGATTGTTCGGGGATTCGCGGCAGCTGCTGGCAACATTGTTGCTGCATCACATGGCAACTGCTCTGCCACAACATTTGCGACCTAGCAAGACTTTGTGGCATTGCCACAGGGCTGCAATGCTGCTGGAGGAATACCTTGCATGGGTTTAGCTGCTGCAAGATAGATGGATGAACATATGGTAATTGTTGTTGCGGTAGAACTAGTTGTTGGTGTTGTAAAAATGGTGGTTGTTGTGGTAGAATTGGTTGTTGTTGTTGTTGCGAAAATGGTGGTTGTTGCGGTAGAACTGGTTGTTGCTGCTGCTAAGAAAATGGTGGTTGTTGCTGTGAAAATGGTGGTTGTTGCGGTAGAGGTGGTTGTTGTTGCTGCGGAAATGGTTGTTGTTGCTGCAAAAATGGTGGTTGTTGCGGTAGAACTGGTTGTTGTTGCTGCGATAATGGTGGTTGTTGCTGTGAAAATGGTGGTTGTTGTAGCTGCGATAATGGTGGTTGTTGTTGCTGTGAACATGGTGGCTGTTGTGGAAATGGTTGTGGTTGTTGTTGGATGGGTTGTTGTTGGTGGTACCATAAGATTTATTGTAGTGGTAATGGTTGTTGTTGCGATGGTTTCTCCAAGCCAGGGTTGTGGCTAGTCTCCATTTGTGCAATGGCACTTGTCGCCGCAATGGCGAGGAGGGCAAAGATGAGGAAGGTCTTCATGGTGAATTGGTGTTAACTAGTGTTGCTTGGTTTTGATGCTTGTGCTTGTTATAATCACTATACTTCATGCCTATTTATAGTAGCTCGTGCACCATCTCTTTCCTTCTTTGCATCAACTTTAATAATTGTGTTTGGATGTTTCTGGAATGGATTTTTGGTACATTATGGTAGGTTGCACTAGCTATAAGCGTACTTTTGGATTGATCATCAAAGTTGCTTTTTAGTTGTGCATATGATCATACACGAAGTACATGATGTTTGAGGTAGATGACTTGCCTTATTCACTTTACATGTCATGCATTTATCTGGATAGTATCACTTTTACACCCGATTTTGGAAAAGGTACATGATGTTTGCTATAGATGACATGCCATATTCACTTTACATGTCACGCACTTATCAAGATATTATCACTTTTACACCCGATTTTGGAACCTTGTATAGGGTGTCCGCCTTAAACAAGAAAAGGCAAAACTTGTGTAGGGCTAAGTTGCAATCATGTGTGGGTTGTTAACATATGCTCTATTATTAAAGCCTTACATGTGGAGGGTTCTTCTAGACTCAATTGTTTTTTATATAACTAACATTGTATTGTCCTTTAAGATGATAAGATAAACTAACACCTATAGAGCATGACATGACTCATCGACTTCCCTTTACATGTAAAGGATTGTAATTGCTTACAAGTCACTAACATATATCAGGTCCTAACTCTAGACACATCATCATCAGTTTGATCTTTGTGTTAAGGATTTTTATTTGATCAGATCATTCTTTTGGCAGACTAAGTTTGCAATATTGTGTAAATATTTCATGGGGCCCACCTGGTCTCTTTTACTAAATCTTTGGGGCAGGAGGTTGATATTTATTTGAATTGTGTAGAACATTTACATAGGTAACCTATTGGAATTATTATATGTTCGTTATACTACGACGACAACATATATAGTTTGGTTTACTGTGGTTCATGTTCAGGTGTATAAGAATGAATTTACGTATATCGAGGTACTTTATCAACCCAAAATGAAAAATGCCAAACATTTTAACATTTTTCATGAACAAACCTTTAGAACCTATTCGCGACTATCCTCCTAGATCATGGACAACCAGCATATTTCATTTGTAGGATTTTGACAAGGTCTTGATTGTTTCCCACATAAAATGTTCTAGATTGTTTCATGGCAACTTGTTTGTGCCCGGCTATTTTCAAACTTCTTATCTAGGCCATACTTATGTTTTTTAGTCATTAATCTATTAACTGTTGAATGAAGAGGTCCCAAATGATAAAGAAAAACTATGTCAGGAGTATGGGCATCTCCACCACTTGTTTCAATAAAACCAGAGGATTTTATGATTATGAATTTGGTTCGTAATATGTTAATGATATGTGCACTCGATCTGAGCCATTATCCGATGAATTGAAAAGTTTTAGATGGCCCATGGATAAATTTATATTTGTTCACAAGTATCAGAAATCTGGAATGGTGACACTACATATTCAATTCAAATTTGAAAATACATCTGATCTCAGCTACGGAGGTCGCCATGTGTCTCAAAGGAGTCTCCATCGCAACTCTGGCCGTCTGCAATTACACTACATGGCAGGCTAGTCTGCCATCCATCATGGGGATCTGCTGACAGGGCCGGTCAGAGGTCCTGTGGTTGCAACTAGCAGGTTATTCATCCAATCTCTGTCCGTCAGTTAGTGCTCCTGGAGTAAATTGTACTTGTATGGATATATATAGTTGCAGAGAGGAATTTCTTTGCCTAGTGTTTGATCTGATTGCTAGCTGGATTGGTGGAGAAATCGCTACTTCTTCGTGGTAGGGTAGCAGTAGACAATTAGTACAGACAAACCTGGCAAAAAATTCCGGTGTGTTGAGAAGTATATTAAGTGGAGATAGTACTAGATCTGATGGCTGCTGGAGATAGTAGTAGATGTTATACTGCACACTGGCACAGTATGAGGTCATTATATTGTTCTGTACAAAGTCTGTCACTGAGATGTACATATATGAGTGACAGCCGTATATATATTTCTTGCAAAATCCATGCTTCCTTGCAGGTGCCCCCGAGACAGAGCCTGTTCCCTATTTGGTACAGTGAGTATTGAATCGAAACTCAAAATATGCATTTATCGATTCAGAGGTTGTGGAACAATCTGAAGGACACTTGTGGTCAAGCAGCAGCAGCAGCAGGTGCAGTGTTTCATGTCAGTCAGTTGGTAGTCAGACTGGCACTTGTTTAATTTAGATGATACAGTTTTTTATTCACTTTGGTAAATGCCAATGGTCAATGACCAATTTCGATGATACAGGTGAGGAAGAGACTACAGAAAGACTAGTTATGTGGTCACCTGGGACTGCAGAGTGTTTTTAGGTGCCATGTAGTCTTGTTTTGTTGTTATAGACTTGATAAATGCTATGAGCTATTTTTGGCAGGTGCTTTGGCTAAAAAAAGAAAAGAAAAAGGTTACGCACGCCTAGGTTACGTCATGATTGTTATTGGCTTTGTCAAACTTTGACCCATGTCTTCTTCAGATATTTGTATCAGTTCTGATGGTACCCCAGCAGTGCTGGTTACTGGGGAAGTGTATGCGGCATGTCGGATCATTCTTCCGCAAGAAATTTTAAAAATTAAGAAATTTTATTTGAATTCCCTATATTGTTTTTCGAACAGTTCTCAATGTAAAAAACAATGAAAAAACAAAAACGAAAAAAGGGCGCCATGTGCACATGTTGTGGGCCCAAATAGTGCACGTTCGCTGAGCATCCAGCACGCAGGCCGTAAGAACAGGGGGAAACGTACACTTGATGCCAGACACGAAAATCGTTGATCAACGCAGTGCATCCATGCATCTCCATCCAGTTTCTTCCAAAAAACGAAGCTTCCAGCCTTTTTTTTATTTATAGGTTATTTACTTGAGTCCGGGTTTTTTCTTATTTTTTTTTTGGTTCATCCTAAAACGAACATTTTAAAACTCTAATTTTTCTGATTTTTTAGGTTCATCCAAATTCATGTGTTTCTTCAAACCAAATAACTTCCCAAATCAGTAAAAAAATGCAGATCCACAAACTTTTTAAGATCCGCAGACTTTTTATGAATCCGTGAACATTTTTTTCAAAATTCATGAGTTTCTTCAAATCAACGAACTTTTCATATCCATGAAGTTGTCTCCACAAACTTTTTTTACTCCGCAAACATTTTTTTAATTCATTAATGTTTTTAAAAATAATGAACACTTTTTAGATTAGCAAAAAAATTCTAATTTGTGAAGTTTTTTTAAAATACCTTATATTTTCAAAAGTTTGCTGCGGTTCC